TTTTTTGTGTCATTTTCAATTTCTTTTTTTAGCTTCTCATAGTTTTCCTTGTGGAGGTCTTTAACTTCTTTGGTTAGATTTATCCCTAAGTATCTTATACTTTTGGTGGCTATGGTAATGGAACAATTTTTTTCAGTACTATCTCCATGTGTCTGTTGTTTGTATATAGAAATGCTATAGACTTCTGTATATTAATTTTGTATCCTGCAACATTACTGTACTCGTGCATTACTTCCAGAAATTTCTTCATGGAAATCATTGGGTTTTCTATGTACAAAATCATGTCATCTGCGAATAGAGAGAGTTTCACCTCTTCTTTTCCTATTCGGATGCCTTTAATTTTTTCCTCTTTTCTGATTGCGTTGGAGAGGGCTTCCAGTACTATATTGAAAAGGAGTGGAGAAAGTGGGCATCCTTGTCTTGTACCCGTTTTTAGTGGGAAAGCTTTCAGCTTTTCTCCATTCAGGATGATGTTTGTGATGGATTTTTCATAGATAGCTTTGATTGTGTTGAGAAATGACCCTTGTATGCCAATTTTGCTGGGCGTCTTAATCATAAAGGGATGTTGTATCTTATCAAATGCTTTTTCTGCATCAATCAATATGGCCATATGGTTTTTGTCTTTTTCCCTGTTAATAGGATGTATTACATTTATGGTTTTGCATATGTTGAACCAACCTTGCATTCCTGGGATAAAGCCTAGCTGATCATGATGTATAATCTTTTTTATAAGTTGTTGGATATGGTTTGCTAGTATCTTGTTGAGAATCTTAGCGTCTATATTCATCAGAGATATTGCTCTATAGTTTTCCTTCCTTGTCCTGTCCTTATCTGTTTTGAGGATAAGGATGATAGAGGCTTCATAGAATGAATTAGGGAGAGAGTCACCCTTTTGGATCTTTTGAAATAACTTGAACAGAATGGGTATTAACTCTTTGAATGTTTCATAGAACTCAGAGCTGAAGCCATCTGGGTCAGGACTTTTCTTAGTTGGGAGGTTATTTACTACTGATTCAATCTCCTGGCTTGTTATGGGCCTATTTAGACTTTCTATATCCTCCTGGGTCAATCTTGGTAGATTATACGTGTCCAGGAATTTGTCCATCTCGTCCAGATTGTCTTGTTTCTTGGCATATAGTGGTTCATAATATCCTCTACTTATGTTCTGTATTTCTGCTTTGTCTGTTGTTATATTTCCTGCTTCTTTGCAGATTTGATTCACCTGGTTCCTTTCTCTTTTCTTCTTAATGAGTCTCGCTAGTGGTGTATCAATTTTGTTTATCTTTTCAAAGAAGCAGCTTTTACTTTAATTTATTTTCTGTATACTTCACTTATTTTCAATTTCATTTATTTCTGCTCAGATCTTTATTATTTCCTTTCTCCTGGATTTTTGGGGATCATTTTGCTGTTGCTTCTCCAATTCTTGAGGCATGATGTTAAGTGATCCATTTGCCTTCTTTCCGTCTTCCTCTTATGAGCACTAATTGCTGTAAACTTCCCTCTTATGACTGCTTTTGCAGTGTCCTAAAGATTATGGAAACTGGTGTCCTCATTGTCATTAGCTTCCATGAATCTTTTGGTTTCAGACTTTATTTCATCAGTAGTTGTGGAGTCATTCAGTAGTAAGTTATTTAGTTTCCATGTATATGAGTATTTTTGAGAATTTCTCTTGAAATTAAACTCAAGTTTAATTCCATCATGGTTGGAGAAGATGCTGGGAATAGTTTCTATGCCTTTGAATCTGTAGAGTCTTGCTTTGTGCCCTATGATGTGGTCAATCTTCGAAAAGGTTCTATGTGGGAGTGAGAAAGAAGTGTATCTTGTAGTTTTTGGATGGAAAGTTCTATAGATGTCTGTTAAATCCATTTCATTTATGGTATCATTCAGATCCTTTATTTCTTTATCTATTTTTTGTCTAGATGATCTGTCCAGAGGGAATAGTGCAGTGTTGAGGTCCCCAACAATTAGTGTATTGCAGTCTATCTCCCATTTTAGATCTAACAGTCTTTCCTTCACATATTTGGGTGCTCCTGTGTTGGGCGCATATGTACTTATAAGAGTTATATTTTCTTGATCTATTGGTCCTTTTACTACAATATAGTGTTCTCTTTGTCTTTTCAAAGAGTTTTTGTTTTAAAGGCTATATTGTCAGAAATTAGTATTGCAACTCCAGCTTTTTTTTGTTTCCCTATTGCATGAAAAACCTTTTTCAAACCCTTCATTTTCAGTCTATGTATGTCTTTATTGATGAGGTGGGTTTCCTGTAGGCAACAGATAGAGGGTCTCCGTTTTTTTTTTTTTTTTTTGTTTTTTTTCAATGCATTCAGCCAGTCTGTGTCTCTTGATTGGGGAATTTATTCCATTTACATTCAATGTTATTATCGATGTAACTGGATCTGTCCCGACGTTTAAGGTGGCCTTTGTCACAGCAGCCTTTTATTCCTTAGTTTCTGACTGTTAGCTCTTTAGTTTTCCGGGAACAGTACTTTCTTCAGGGTTTCTTGAAGAGCTGTTCTGGTGCTGGCAAATTCTTTCAGGTCTTGTTTGTCTGTGGCGATTTTAATCTTTTTTTTCCTATATGAAGGATAATCTTGCAGGATACAATAATCTTGGTTGAAATTGCTTCTCTCTTAGGACTTTCAATACATCTTCTCATTCTTTCCTTGCTTGCATTGTTTCTGTTGAGAGATCCAGAGTTAGCCTGATGGGATGACTTTTCTATGTCACTTCTCATTTCTCTCTTGCCAGTTTTAGTATCATGTCTTTATCTGTGGTCTTGGATAGTCTGGCTATGATGTGCCTTGGGGAAAATCTTCTGGGGTTGATTCTAACTGGGGTCCTTTGTATTTCTTGGGTCTGGATGCTTGAATGCCTCTTTAGACTCGGGAAATTTTCTTCTAGAATTTCGTGGAATAGATTTTCCATGCCGTTAGTTTTCACCTTCTGGGATGCCAATTATTTTGATATTTGGGTTTCTTATGGAATCTAGTATTTTTTCCTCTTTTTTTTTTTTTTTTTGTATTCTCTATCTTTTTCGTGGTCCTTTCTAGGTCAGAGTTTTTATCTTCTACATCAGTGATTCAATCTTCAGCATGGTGTAATCCACTTAATACTTTCAAGGGAGTTTTTTATTTCCTCTATTCCAGACTTTATCGCTAATAGCTCCATCTGGTTCTTTCTCAGAGTGTCCATTTCTTCTTTCATATCTTGGAATGACTTCCTCCTCTCCTGTAGTTTGTTGTCTTTTCTGTTCCAACTCAAAGAATTTGTTCACCATAAATGTTCAAAATTGTTTGTCTGACATTTTGGTAACATCGTCCATCAGCATAAAAGATGGAGGGGAATTACTCTGTACTTTTGATGGAGATGTATTTCCTTGTTTATTCATACCTGAGGCTCTTCTACTTCTAGCCACTGGAAGATGTATTCAATTTGAATACCTCTTGTGGGAACATTTCTCCGACTAGGAGTAAGATATTTTCCCTTTTGCTGCAAGTTAATGTTTGCCGGTGTCCCTCTTCTGTTGCTTTTACCAATGAAGTATCAAGAGGGGAACTCTACTGAGGTGTCTGAAAAGCAATATCTCCTTTTCGTCAGGTGAGTAAGTACAAGGGAAGATCCCAGAGAAAGTTATATTACTAGGGGATTAGTAGATATCTGATTATAGACCAGACTAGTCCTTCTGGCAGAGTGGAAGATGAAGAGGAGAGGGTATTAGGTGAAGCAACACAAGAAAAAAAATGCACAGAAAAATAAAGAAAAAGTCAAGTGCCACACTAATGCTGAAGGCCTGCTGCTGTGTTTGTGGCCTGCTGCTGGGGACAGGACAGGCTGTGGGAGGAGGAAGACCAGGAAATTAACAAGGGAATAAACCTGAAAAATCCAAAACAAAAAGAAATGGCAACCTACCTAGGGGGTGGATGCTGGGGTTGGGGGTCTGCAGGTGAGGCCAGGGAGCAGTGATGTCCCTGCCTCAGAATCACTGGCTGGCCCAGAAGCAGATTGTTTCTTTTTTATTCAGGTCACATACGGTCCTTTTGACCCCACCTTAAGTGATAAAGACCAATTTACATCAGTTTATCAGATGGCCACCAAGGACAGCTCTCTGACTCATGGAATCATCTGCTTGTTGCTGCATTTTGGCCGGACATGGGTGGCGCTCTATGTATCTGATGATATGCAAGGGGAGCAGTTCCTTCAGGATGTAAAGGCAAAGATGATAGAAAAGGATATCTGTGTGGCCTTTACAGAAAAGCTCCCTG